TATTATTATTATTATTATTATTATTATTATTATTATTATTATTATTAATATTATTACGACACTTTGATTTCGTATTACACATATTTATTGAAAACGGTCGATTCATTCGATGAATTATTTTTTCTAATGTTATACAGATGTACACAAATATGCTGAGTCATGTGTTTACCTACGGGTTTTTCATTTACGGTACAAAACGTTTCGAATGACGAAGAGAAATATTAAAATAATATTATTTTCTGCGAGATACGCGTGAAAGATGTTCTTGAAGACATCGAAAGAAGCGTGTTTGGTCGGAAAAAATATTTCAATTTTTGATTTTACGAATGATAAAAATATACTATATTATATTATAGAATCTTAAATTGTTTTTGACACGAATGTCATTTTATAATATTATAATATGTGTGGTTGGTACACGCGAAATGTTGTATTCTGTATGTCTTGCGGTAAATGTCAACTTGGATCAATTGTTTCGGTCACAATATACACTTTTCAAGAGTATACATTATAATTTGATTTCCACTTTGATTTCCATTATTTTGATGCCACCGGTATTTGGCCGGTGCTTGGGGTTAAAAAAACGTGTAGTCCATGAACACAACAAGTTATGTGTATAATTTTTGTATAAATATTTTTTTAGAACATTACATAAAAAGACATTATTATACTTTATATCACTAGGCCATATAATGCTCATAGCTTTTTTTTAACAGCTCGCAGAAAGTTGAATGATTTGCTTTGTCTAGTTCTTCTGAATGCAGTAAAAATATGTGTCCTGGACAATCGGGTCTTAGAACCCCAACTATAACATTGGCAATAAACCGTCCTTCTACGTCACATATCTCTTCAATTGACACCCAAATTTTATTTTGCCTTATTTCCATTTTCATTTTATTCATAGTAGTATTAAACATATCATCAATATAACTAACACGTCCATAGATATATTTTTAGCAGTATATTTCTCTAAAAATACTCGAAATGTATTGTTAGAAAGCTTGTTTAACGGAATATCAACAGATACCATTGCTTAACATAAATCCATGTTGAAATCGGATTTTTCTGAACTTCCATTGGTTAGTAGTTATTGTAATTTTCTCTGTTGTTGATCATTCTGACGTTTGACACTCAGTTCTATTTTGAGCGTTGAAATACCTTTGTTAACCCTACAACGAGGCATCGTACGGCGATGAACTACGTGACAACGTAGATAAGATAAGAATTATTTTTAATTTTAATTCTATCAAAAACGACTTTGTAGGAGAAAACTATAAAAACGTAAAAATCTAGAAATAAGCATTTTTTTGAAAAATCACTGAAAAAAGCGATTTCAAATTTCATAACTGAATGTGTTATAACATGACATACATTTATATAGCACTCTGCTACATTTTAAGTTAATCTATAAAAATAAGCAAATGCTTTAAGTTCCGAGCCCTGGTTATAATTAATGTCAGCATAATTAATTATAGTCTTATATATTATTTATACCGTTATTCAAATAAATACATTTAGTGAGAAGGGTTGACTTTTAGGTACTAATGGTAACTTATTTCCGAGTTTAACATCATGAAAACCAACTCTATAAAATTCCAAAGAAAGTTTTTCCTGTTGTTCATTGTTTAAAGTAACTTGATCGTGAAAAGGTGTTCGACATTGGGATTCGACAATATATGCGCATTGATTTTAGCTTTTTAAGATGGTTATTTCTAGTTATTTTACAGCAATAAAAAAAGTGTAGAGATGCCCGTTGAAAAACGTCTGTAGGATATAATCAATTTAAATGTATTCGTATAAAAAGTTTAAGTTTTTAAAAAGGTAGTCTGCAAATCACCGAATGAATATTTAATACTTAAGTTAGCTACTATTAAAAGAAAAATATGCAATCTCCTTTATGCCAGTAATGTGGCGTGTGCACCTCTATTGACAATTTTTTTTTATTTAAACCTTGTCTGCATATACTTTTATATCCATAGATCCATAGACGTACACAACAAATTTTTGGTTCAGTGCACATTTCATTAATCAGGATTCTAATTAATTATTTTACAGGACTATAATTGTTTTATTTGTTTGTTATTGTACAGAATTGTTTAAAAAATATATTTTGACATAATCAAATTTTTTTTTTTAACAGAATTACATTTTAAATACACAATTTTTATACCTGCATTATAAACATGAAATATTTGATTTATTGGAATAAATATAATGGCTATCCTGACGTTATTTCAAAGTTTTATAAACTTATCCTTGATGTGAGACAAAAGTATCGATTAATTTGAAATCAAAAAATGATTGACTTAAAAAATACGATATGACTAATGCATGGTGAAATACTGAAACTTTTGGCCCGCGTATTCACTACCCATAAAAGTGGTGTTTATATAGAAATAAACCAGTACATGCCCCACGGCTTCGCTCAGAATGTTATTTTATTAGATAAATGAAATGTTTTATTTATACTACGTTTCTACGCTGCAACATATGAGTTTAGCTAAATCTTAATGATTTTTCCGAACGCTTTTGAAAAGGGGGCTGTTGTTTATTGATTTTGGTGTGGGGATCTAGCCATCTGTTGTGCGCAAATAGTTTACGCACATTTACTAAAATTACAACTCATATGCGCCCGAGCAATTTCTAGTGCATCCACTCGCTCATGCAAACATTTCCCTTCCCACTTTCACAGACTTAAGACTGTCAATAAATATTTAACCTCATTGGCGTGGTTAAAAGTGTGCTTTCGGTGTACTATGAGTTAAAAAAATAATAATATTTATAAATGATTAAAATAGTTATGGTAAAAATAAGGAAAGCTGTAATTTGTTTATATTTATTTTACTTCAATGATTCGCCTTGGAAACGGTTACCCATTTGTTCTAAGTAATGCAATTGGTCAATTTCGTTATTTGAACACTTTGTTCATACATTTGTATGTGATCAATAGTTCTTAACTTGTTTTGAGCGCAATAGAGGAGTGGTTCCTTTTATAATATGCTGTGCGCAAACGATTGATTTCTTCTACAATAATCAGCACGTTTCAGGTTTTAACCTAGAAATTTTAAACTAATGCGCAACCAGTTGTATTAGCCCATATGTTTTCGGTCTATAAAGGCACAATCGCCGATTAACTCTTAGCTGGCTTTACGTGCACGTATACATACATTGTACAGTTACCGATATATCTTTTGTCGATAGATTACTTATTATTATCACGATATCATCGTATTATCGCGAATAGCTTGGATCGTGTACGCTGGGCAGCAAGCGGTACGGCCGTCGAAGAGTAGCGGTCGGTTGTGTTTCGGTACCACCAGTGTCTTTTACGTACCACGCGTCATAGACACTAACGGGGGTTGAAGGGGTGTGGTTGTCGTTGAAATATTGAATGATCGACGCCCAGTGGCGGCATTGGGTCGAGTCCAGTGCCGGGTTTAGCGGGGACGCGATGCACCGGTGCCTCAAGCTCTAAACGGCCTCTAAAACCGAAACCTAAATTTGAAAATTGTCTGTTTCATTATTTTTATGTTTTTTTTTTTTAAAAAAAAAAAATTACCTGTGAATAATAGTAAATTTAAAACGTCAACGTGTATTTAAATAAATATACAAGTGTTATACCGGGGAAATTTTATTTTAATGTGTCTCGGATTAGCACTCCGGACTCTCGAGAGACTTGTATCCGGTCAAATCCAGTGGCATTGTTTCAGTTTTTTTCTATAGAGTAAAGCAGTCGGAGGCTCATTTTACCAAAATTCCGATTAACATGGGAAGGGGGAGAGGAGAACGCCAAATCAGTCCAAAAATATAATGATTTGTACTTTGCATGTAAGCACCAGTACGTTTGTCGCCACTGGTCAAATCATTCGCTATGCTTCATTGTCCGTAACACTCCGTCGCAACATCCCTGCGGCGTAATCTCTGTCAACGGTGTACACGGTCCAACGTCTACAGTTCCTGTAGCCGTTTAGCGCTTGATTCGTTCACTGTTTCGCAGACGTCCCGGCAGCGTCCTGAGGAGACCAGCGTTTCGCCTAGAAGTAGTGGACTGTAGTGGAAGTGGTGGCGGTGGCGGCGGCGGTGGCGGCGATGGGCGGAATAGTGCTTTCGTGGTGTTGGAGAAAAATTTCCACGCGACGACGCCGACGGCAGTGGAAGAGCAGCAGCAGATCGTGGGCGGCGGCAGCGATGACGCCGTAAGTGGTAGCAACAGGTGGGTGAAGAGGAGGCAACGGAAAATGAGCACCGCGAGGTTTTTCGACAATAGGCAAGCTCGTTTTCCGGCCGTCGACACTGGCAAGACTATACAGTAGGCAAATTGTCGTTATAGTCGTTCGTGCACCGCAGTGTTTCCCAACCTTTTTTTTCCGTACTTGTAGATTTTCGAAAATATAATATTGCGTCCCTCCGATCAGTTTAAATTAAAAAAAAATAGAAATTTTGATGACCCTTTTTTTCTTTAACACTCTTTGACACATTTGACACTCTTCCAATAGGTAAAAATAAGACCTTAAAGTCCCGTGCTACGTCGGTTTATCAACGAACGATTAGCAATTATTTCGTTTATACAAATAAATAAATAATTAAAAATTATCTTATCTCGATGTTGCGCGATTGCTGTTGTCCACGCCTTCTCAGTGATGTTTTCTAACCACCTCTCTCCTTCTTCTCATCCTCATCACAATACAAAGGTTGGAAATCATTGGCACGTCGGAAGCCGTTCGTGTTTCATTCCGGCCAACTACGGAGATGATATTATTATATATTTTTTTTTTTTTGCAAATCCTATTACGACGCACGATTTTACTATCACCTACCTATACCTATACTATGTTATATGATACGTTCAAATCACACGTAGTGATTTTCGTGTCATTATAACGTAATAACTACAGCTGGAGATGAACTGACTCGAGTTATAGTTAACTGTCAATAAAGAGAGAGAGAGAGAGAGAGAAAGAGAGAGTTAAAAAATAGTACTTATGTATTACTGTAATCTTTGATGTTTAAATTGTTATTTCAGAGAACGATGTTATACGAGACTCGATTATTAATCAGCATTTTGATTACGTAAAATAAAATAAATAATTATTGTATTACCTTATTTTAGTCGTTTAAGTGTTAAAATATTCATGGTAATGCACACTGCATTAGTTGTACACGTATTTTCTGTCAACATTATTTTATTTAAGATGTAATAAAATTAAAAATTAAAAATATTAATTTTTGGTTTTTATTCTACCTAATATTTCTCAAACTAACTGGAAAAACCTAGTTATGGTTATTTATATATCAAGTTAAATTTTTAGGTTGACTTATGTATTTTTACTAGTTATTTGCCTATTATTTGACCAAAATATAGTTATTCTACTAATGTAATCATAATAATGTCACTTCATAGTGGCCGTACCTTTATTTTATGTGATGTAATTATAAACAATAGAATATTTCTGTTTAATATGTACTGCAATAATAATTATTATATATAAATAGTTAGAACGTAACGTAAACAATATAAGTGATTAATTAGGAATTATAATTTTGATTATTTTATTATTATTATTATTATTACTATTATACTCATCTACGAGCATAGTCCATGGTTTTGTGGTTAAATAATTACATATTATATTTGACATTGATTTTATTGCACAGTGTTAGCTGTGTTTGTGTAATATTTGTCTATATATTATATTATTTGGCATCACATTATGTATATAGTTCATCGGCACGAAATAGAGTCAAACGAGTCGTTGATTTTGTGGTCATACGCAGACTTTCGTTTCTCTCGTCGCCACATAACCGGGAAAAAAATCGGCATGGAGAAGAAAAAAAACACAAATTCAATCGGACGGTATACGGCTACTCGAAATCAATAATACTATTCAGAAAAAATACGTTGAATTTTTTGAATATTATAATTGTGTTGTACACTTGTTATAATTACCTTAAGTAAATAATTTCGTAATTATGGGTCGCGAAAAGTCGATGAAGTTAAAATAATTTCCAAATCCTTGATTTTTTTTTTCACCGCAGAACAGAAACATCCACATTGGTCTAATGTCTACGTACAATAGATTATAAAATAAATTATTAGGTAATTGTTGTATCCCGTTGGACTGAAGTTGACAGATGTCATTAAATTTCAGGTCTAAAAGCCTTATTCGTCCACTTAAATTCCTCTTTCGACGAATCACGAGATGTGAGATAACCGAACCTAACCTTTGACCCTTAACTTTGTTTTGAATTGCTTGTTTGTAACTTATCAGTTATTTATGTTTGTAAACGAACTCAATGGGTAAATTAGGGAATTTTGCGTTTAAAAGACACTTAAGTGGTTAAGTGGTAAACTTAATCATAGTATTAATAAGTCTAGGTAAATAGACATTTTTAATAGACGTTGAAATATTCTACAATCGAGCGTGATAGTTTGAAGCTGAAAGAGAAGTAAAAAAAAGAAATTCGAGTTATCAAGATTAATCAATACTATAACACAGTGTTTCTCAAACCGATTTATTAAGAGACCCGTTAAATATGATGTTAAATAATAAATACTCCTAACTTTACATTTTGTGATTTCTTTTCTTACTATAGATGCTGAAAGATTTAGCACAAATTGAATACACTTTTCTGTTGATGAATTAAGGGTATTAAAATTATATTTATAAAATAAATACTCGAAAGTATTTCATAACATCATTGTAATATTCGTACTCCTCTCTATCTCAAAAGATACTCATGGTCTATAATTGTTGAGAAACATTATTGTTGTAAAATAGGTTCGAAAAGGTAATTTGAGTTATAAAAAGTTTAAAATTATTAAAATTCGACTTGTAGTGAGTTGACTGTTTTGTGCATTTTACGGTAATTATAACGTCAATCAATTCGAGTCCATTAATTAATTTCGCTAAATTTTCGTTTCTAAAAATGGAACTAGATAAAACTAACAAACAATTTTACCATTCATATGGATCAAAATCAATTTTATCATGGCTCATCGTCATGTAAACGTGCATTTTATATTTTTACGGTGTATAAATATTCCTCATTATGTCCCTTTACAATTAAACGTTTTTAGTATAAAAAAAAGTTACTTAGCCACTACAATCGGGATACACCTATGTATTACGTAATTTGCCATAGGCTGTGATGTCGACTGCAAAATCCATAATTTTTCACCACATTGGAAATCTGCGAGGAAAAACAGTTTCAATGTTTGTACAATTGAAATGATAATAATAGTAATAATAACAATAATATTATTTATTTGAATGGCGTATACGAACGTACCATATGAGGACAACCATAATAGTATTACATTGGCGTCACGCAGTGATCTGTTGACAAGGTCGTAACTGAGCATGATATCTGATGAGAGATACATAATTTATCAAAGTATATCATTCTAATTCCATGTATATTATGATAGGAATATACATACACCTACATATATGACATAATTATATGGACGAGTTGTAATATCGTAGTAACAAGCAGACGTATTAGGTAATTTTTTCAAACTTATATTGAGGTTTGTCAAATTTGGGATATTTTTTTATTCATGCAGTTGATTATATATATTTTTTAAGTAGTGCTAACAGATGGAGCTTATTCAATTCTTAATAAGTGTATTAATTTTTACATCTAATAAACTGAGAATAAAAACTTAACTTTAATTAATTTTATTTCTGAATTATATTTTTATTATGATATTGTTGTGTGTATATATATACATATTAATCTCAAAGAACACCCATTTACATGGGTTAATCACTTCTATAAATCATTAATTCAAGCTTATAATAAATTAAAAAAATAACATTCCTGCAGTTTTGAAATTTCAGAATGAACTTTGATACTTGAAAATTCTTTTTCAATTATTTTTATTGGATTTTCATATACATGTTATGGGCTATCATACATCATATAATATATAGTAAATATCTTTTTAATAATCGATACATTTTAATACGGGATATGTATGATTATGTAATAATCGATGTATTTAAATTTAAAACAAAACTAAAGACACTGTAAAGACAATGTAATGTCATATCCTTTTATTATAATTATATACTTGTCTATATAACATAAAACTATGAATGTATGAATTAAATCAGGAATACTAAGAATTACAAATGTGGGTATAACAAGGACAACGACAAACAGCAGGTGCAATGATCTACATTTCCTGAAAATCACAGAATAACAAATTCAATGACCTCAATCAAGTAATATAAAAGAGGGACCGAAATGACCACAATTGAGATGAGTTCTAGTCACGTCACTCTATGTTATAATTTGTTAAACACTTTGAATATTAAAATAAATGTAAAAAGTTAAAGGTCTTATGTTTGATTAATTAAATTTAAATACATAAATAAAATAAAATAAAGTTATATAATTTAAAAACAAGTTTCATTTTTCTTTTTATTTATAAATAATTTTAAGTAAACTATAAAACTTATATAACAACCGAAATGTTTTCCAATATCATTAGAATTTCTTTAATTTTAAATTTGTTTATGTATTTTTAGCAATTAAAATACTTACGATTTTATACTTGACTCATTTAATGTTATTTCCTAGAGATATATATTTGTTTCCATCTAAATATGAACGGTGTCCATGAGAAAGAAATTCATTTATCGATATGTTTCAAAAACATCCAATGACATTTTTCCATTAAATGTATAGCATCTTGTTTATCTATATATCTTCTCAGAATTTCTTTTTATTTAATTGTAAATGTCTGTATCGTATACAAATTTTTTGATACTCCAGCTAAATACTAATTATGAATCATGTATGATTCAAATTATGCATACAATATTAAATATAAATGACGAAATTTTATGTCACTAAAGTTCTTGTTCGGTAAAATCTAGGGTACATAAATCTAAATACAGCAACATAAATGTCATCCTTTTTAATGTTAAATACATGATGGTTATTAGATATGTCATTTAAGTTAAAGCAAATTAATTATTTCTTAATATAATCTATGTCTCATTAATATCAAGTTTTATGTTATTTTTTTATACCACTGTTCCTAGTAATTTTTACCCATATTAAATATTAATAGCTTATATTTTAATAATGCACCGAGGCACTTATGCACTTATGTGGCTTTGTGGTCTAGAACAAAGCAAAATACTAGATTTTGCGATAGACCAAACCTCCGCTAAATGTTTTATCATCAAGTCTTAATAAAAATGATCCGTGAAATCATCGCCATCGGATAACGGTTGCTCTTTTGACTCCAATGCGGTAAGATCTACTGTGGTTAACATTCTAGAGTTTATAGTGATAACTTACGGCTTTTTAGAATACAGATTATATCGAAATTTTTTCTTTATGTATATAAAACATATGTAGGTCTAAAAAATAAACGGTGCGATTTTTTGAAAATGATTCTTTTCTACGAAATGTTTGCTGATTCTCACTCTAGGGAGACAAAATATGACACAACACGACTACATAGTCACTGATACATACGGACACTGATCGATGTTTTAAGTTGTTTTAGCAAGCTTCTAATAAAATCATTGTAAATATTGTGTTTCGTTATATTTTCGTAAATGAAAACCTAGGTGTAAATCATATTTTGATAAATATTTTAATTACTCTAATTTATCGGTTGATCCTTACTCTCATTTAATCCTAAACAAACAAAATATTATGCTCAGTCGTAAAAACAACGGAAAACGAACATTATCAACGTAATCTATATATTAATAGAACAATCGATAGATTATAAATGTTAATATAAGTTTTTTATGTAATTTTTGTATATTTTTTTGTGTCATGATTTCACTTGTTATAATCCGTAATATTTTTTCACCAAATAGTATGGTGTTAATGGATAGCGGATACAACATGCCTCCATCTTGAATTTACTCGGTCCAATAAAGCGACAAACAATATTAAGCTACCCGTAGGTAAATAATATTGTTACATAATTTCACCACGAAGGTAAAATAAAAACGAAGACAGGAATAATGTGATTCGTATGCCACTGCTATGACTATATTGGTTTACTTGTATGTAGAAATTATTTTTTTTAATTTAAATAATTTCAATAGTTTGCATTTTAATAAAAATAATTTTACACAAAATGAACATGTCTTTCATGTTTCAATGATTTCATTTTGATACTGCATTAA